GTTGTGTATAGGAATGAACTAAACATTACATAACATTGTGTTATCTACAATAAGAATACGTTTTATGATATAAATTCAATTTAGAAAATGACGAAAAATTAATTATTTATTTCTTTAATTATCTGAACTATATTAAAACCATTTAATAGTAAGGTTATCTCGTATATATTGGTTCAGATTTCTAACTGCTTGTTAGTGTTTTGAAAAGAAGAATAGAATAAAAACTTTATTAACAAGATCTAAAATTTTAATTTATAATTACTCACTGTAAGTATGTGTTTATCATTATACTTTTTTTTCTATGGCGATAGTGAAGCAACATACCCCATCTAATGTTCTCAACGAAAATTCATTACTTCATTCAACTAAATGTTTGATGTAAAAGTATGATTGATGTAAATTTTATGAAAAAAGTGAGTTTTATAAAATAAGATAAAAATAATATGACGCAATTCGATGATAGTTATTAATCAGTTTTGTGTTATATTCTTAATTGTTTATACATATAACAAGCATTTTCTATTCTATTTTAATATTTATAGTTTCAAATATTAAAAATACATTTCACAAAATATTTTAATACAGCTTGAACCTTCATTTCTAAAAACTGTAAAGATTTAAATACAATAATAATTCAGATTTCAGAAATTCAGTAAAGTCTACACTTTGAAAGGTTACTTCAAATTCACAACAAAAAAGGTTCTAATATGGACTCAATATATTATTTACCTATTTTGGAAAAAGAATTAGAAGAGTTAATAGCAAAGGCCAAAAATTGGGCACTTATGCATGGAATGTGCATGAGATCAAAAACAAATTTTAATAAGAATACGCTACAATTTGCACCGTTCATATTAATACCATCCCCATTTCCTAGGAAAGAATTTGAGAACGCTTGTCAGATTCAACCAAAATTAAACTTATTGATACATAGGGTTGCTCAGGACTATAACTTCTTAAAAGAAACTTTAGAAGAAATAATAAAAGTTGATAGTTTCACTAAAGAGTTATTTAAAATATGTGAAATTATAAACAATGAAGGAGGATCAGCACAGAAAATATCTCTGGGTATTTTACGTTCTGATTTAATGTTAGAGACAAACTGTCATACAAAAGACTGTAACAATACCTGTATTCCATACTGTGGTTGGAAACAAGTTGAAATAAATACAATTGCTTGTGGTTTTGGTTGGTTGGGGCCAGCTGCAACAAAGTTACACAAATATGTATTAAGAGAACTTGATTATCATGAAAAAATAAAAGATCTGCCTAAAAATGATGCATTACAAGTTATATGTTCAAGTATAATAGAAGCATGGAATATGTATGGTGATAGACGGTACATTCACTTAATTGCATTTTAAAGATAAAAATATTAAAAATATAAATATTGTAAAAATTAATATAAAAACACAAAGAAATTATTTACGATTTAAATAATTGTTATATATAATTCTTTTCAGAGCAGTAATTTTATTTGTTATTGAAGACATTACATATAATATTTGTGATCAACTTTTTCATGAATTTGAGATTAGAGAGCAAAATCCAAATATCAAAGTCATTCGTCGGAATTTAACGCAGTTAGCTACTACTGCAAGATTGGGTTCTAATAAGGAATTGATAGTAGATAATTATATCATAGCTGTAGTATATTATAGATGTGGATATGAGCCTGGACAATATCATACAAGAAAAGAATGGGAAGTAAGATTACTAATAGAAAGATCTTTAGCAATTAAATGTCCTACTATTCAGTATCATTTAGCAGGAACAAAAAAAGTTCAGCAGGCTCTTGCAAAGCCTGGTATAATTAATAAATTTTTGAAAAATGAAAAGATATGTGCTGAAATTAAAGAAATATTCACTGGTAAGTGAATTGTTTTTATGATACGAATGGTATTCAATTGTGTCGACAAAAGTATTGTATTGTATTATTTTGTACAGAACTCCATGCATTAGATTTTAATGAACATGGAAACGCTGCTATAGAAATGGGGATTGCTGATCCAGATCGATTTGTACTGAAACCTCAACGAGAAGGAGGTTGTAATAATAAATATGGATTAGATATAAAATCCTTTTTAGAGTCTGTAAAACATAAACAAGATAGGGTAGCTTGGATTCTTATGGATAAAATTCATCCTCCAATTCATAGAAGTTACATGATTAGACCAGATGACAATGCAAACATAAAACTACAAGAACTAGTTTCTGAATTAGGAATATTTGGTACTATTATTGCTGATGAGAATAATGTACGTGTTAATAAACAAGCTGGTCATATGTTGAGAACAAAGTTAGCTACTGCTAACGAAGGTGGTGTAGCAACAGGATTAGGTGCATGTGATAGTCCATATTTAGTAGATTAGGAAATTTATATACTTAAAAATGTTTTTATAAACATATTATATTTTAACTGAATGTTGTAAGTCACGATCATCTTTAATTAATTTATGGCATTCCTATGTAATGAATAGCAATGTATTTTTCTTTGCTCATAGTTAAAACTGAAAAAAAAAATTCAATTTTTACTTCTTTTTTCTAATCTATATATGAAATATATAGTATATTTATGCAATAAAAATGAATATATATATAGTTTGTAAGTTATTCTTCTTTGTTAATATCTTTTAAAAATATATTAAAATTTATTGATTATAAATTAATAATCATTGAATATCTTTTTGTGTATTAAAATATTTTTGAATTTATTTTGAAGCATGTACATAAATTTCTTAAATTTTGAAGAAATCATTACAAAAATATTATTTTTAGTACATATGAAAATATATAACACAATTATAGACTGCAGGTAACAAAACAAACTTTATTGATATATATTTAAAAGATATGTAGTATTAAGCTATCTCTGATTCTATGTATAAAACATATGAAAAGTATGTTACATATTAATTTTCTATTTTTTATAAAAAAATCTGCAAGTTATGAAATAATATACGTAACTATATTATTATTATGAAAACAAACTCTAAAAATATTTTTGAAATTTTTTTTCCTTGTTTCTTTCTTGTCTTAATTATATTTTATACTGCAGTGTTATTTATTGTCATTGTGTAGAATATTGTTGTGCTGTATTTAGATTGTGTTTACAGCTTTTCCAGATGTTATACATGCAACGGCAAGGTATGAAATAGAATTTGAACCAAGAGAAGTCTTCTTCTTTCGAGAAGGCACTGTAGTGATGTGGAATATTTCTGAACTTGAATATGGCAATATAGTCAATTTTTTAAAGAAATATGAAGATAATCCTTATGCAGAGTCTACTGTTCAGTTAGAAAGAGAAACAATGACATACACTTATGCAGATAGTGGGTAAAGGAACTTATAAGCTTTAAAATTTTATGTCATAAAACATTTGTTTCGTATTATAAGACACTTTTTTCTGTAAAAATTTATATACCTTATTTTTTGCAATTTTCTGTAGCAAACGAAGTCATATAAGCAATGGAAATATAATGATATCATTATCTGCAACAAATTTAGATAAATATACATTTTCAAATGCAATGGCCCAGTCAGTGAAATTAGGTATATGGGAAGCGTCTTTAGATAATTATATAGATTCTATAGAATTTGTTACCAAGGATTTGAAATTGGGTAAAAAACTCAGAATAAGTCAACAGGAAGTATTAAAGAAGCAAGGAGAACTATTTGCTTTGAGACATTCAATTAATTTAAGCTCAGATTTATTAGATACTCCAGATTTCTACTGGGAAAGAGAAGACTTAGAAACGTTGTATCAACAAACATGTTCATATTTTAATATTACAAAACGTACAAAAGTAAGTTATAAAAATATAATTAGTGTTGGTAAAGGATATTTAAAATTTCCAAAATAACAAAGTACATATATATTTTTTTTATTATCACAGGTTATAAATGAGAAAATAAATCACTGTGTAGAGCTTGTTGGACTTCTGTCTTCACATTTAAGTGACCGTCATCATATTCGTTTAGAATGGATGATTATTATTCTTATCATGGTTGAAGTAGCATTTGAAACATTACATTACATTGATAGATATTTTTCTTAACTATGTATATGAAGTAATTTAATATACAGATATTATATTATTTATATGAGATGTATACTCTTGTAAAAAAATATACATATGTAATATTTTTAATATATTGTACAAAATAAGTTAATATATTGCATGATGAGATTTCTCTTACTGATAAATTATTCACGTCCTTGTTGACATTTTAAAGTAGGTTTCTCTGTTTGATAATTAAACGTTTTTAAAAATAAAAAGAAACTGTAATTCTTGAGGTACATTTTTCTTAGTTTTTAGAAGTAGAAAAGAGAACTAAGTCACTTAGACTTAACTGGAATTTAATATTACAATCTAGAGCAATATGAACTTAACTAGATTCAGTTATTTTAATTTTCTATAGATATATGTAAGTATGTAAGCTTCAAGCAACGCAACGGGCGCAAAGCATAGCACGTCAATAATTGCAATATAGGACAAGGATACCTATTTATCCCAATACAATACTTCTAATTAAATTTACGATTATTGACTTATAATTGAACTAATTTATGAGAAATTAAACATACAAAGTCTATATACACACGAATCAAATTAGTTTCCTTCGAAATTTCAAATTTCTTAAAAATTTCATTTCAATTATTTTAATTATGAATTTGAACATAAATTTTTTACTTTTAATACTTTTTAATACTTCAGAATCATTTTTTAGATCATGATTTCGTAAATTCCCTCGAGTTTTAATGTATATTTATCCAATACAAAAATCCGGCATATATTTGTAATATTAAATATCTTTAACTGGTGTCAATTTATAATATTCAATATTCAAAACGTAAAATGTATTTATACAAAATATTGATTCTACACATACTATTAATTATTTTATATTTCATTTAACTGATATACACATGTGACATTTTATTAATAAATATAAATTTACTGTTTGTTTATAATTCGTCAGAGATGCGCAAAATGAAATACTACATCAATAATAAAAAGGTTGATACAACATTTAATGCTTTTTGGGAATGGACAAGAAAACAAGCTTCAACGTTTTACCGTTAAGAATGTTATAACTAAAATCGATCTTATACCTTTTTAACAACAACCTATCTATATATTCTAGACTTTTATGATTGAACGGGCTGATAAGCGACGATATTTTAAACCAAACAATTGTTTAATTTAAAAATATAGTTAAAAAATTGTCGATAAGTAATTTTGTTTGCAATACTTATCTACCTGAAATACTTTTCTCGTAAAAGACAACTTTGATACGATCTGGAAAGAACGTGTGCTGTTCTATCAATAAACTTTAGTAATTACTGGCTCAAATGTAAACGAAACTCTGTACTGCAGTTTGTTTAATTTAATCGTGTCGAATATAGTGTAAATGCTCTCTGGACATTCTCGCCAGCATATTTCCTAGATACATCCCTGTGAATCGTACGCATGGCACGCACCCCTCTTGCGCCCGTATCGAAAGAGAAGTGGAGTCCGTAGGCAGTTTCTGCGATAATACATAGCACCCACTTGTCGGCTAGCTGATAGCGTGGCAACCATACCTCGGTGCTTGTCCCGTTTCTCCACGCGCTTCATCATCCTGCGAACTATTTCGGGATTAATCAAAGATATATCAATATCCTCGACGCACCGTCGAACTGCCTGAGACTGAATAATTATGGTTCAAGGTGACCGCTCACCCTTTTAATTAAAGCTCACATGACGGAAGGAATTCTTCGAATCTCGTAAGTAAACTTCATTATTTATTTAATTTTATTTCAAACGTTTACACAATTATAATAATAGCATCTCCTTAACTTTTATATTTTATTATCTATCCGATTAATGAATTAATTACGTTTATTAATAGAGATCAGTTTTGTATCAACAAGCATTAGGCAACGTATGTCTGTCTCTTTTATGTTCCTAGAAATTTTTCATTTTCTATTATAGTAATTCTCTATCGCAATCCCAAGGATTTTGTAACTTAACTTTGATGTAATTGAAATTTCGATTTTCTATTTTACGATAAACCTTGTAACAAGTGTTTGAAGTAATAATAACTTATATACGTTAATTAATGTATATGTATTATTTGATTTAATTGATATATTTTGCTAGAAATATTATACATGTACGTATATATTGTTAGCTGAAACGTTTGCAATGCAATGCATGAGTTATGATGGTACGTGTCACAAGTTTCGATTGATCGCCCTTCAACGTAGGAGTTTCGCGCTCATTTTTTTTCAGTTACTGTACGATTGCCACGCGTCCAAAGCTCTCCCTCCCTTCCGCCCCCGTCCTTATATGCTACCGCTTTCCCATCCATTTTCCCTTTTCCAATAATTATACGACCACGTATACACAATACAATAACGTCACGCGTGACATTATTTTACCAGCGCAACAGACGTACTATAATAGAATCCTGTCTTCTTTATTACTTTTACACGCATATGTTTTACTAACGACCATTTCAACAAAGGGATATTTTTGCCAGTGAGAATATTTGTTTTTCTCGCTCCGATAATGCGTTTTCACTCCTCTATGTTTTAATCGTTGATATATACGTATATGTGTATTAAAAATATATCGTTTTATATTTAGAATTTACTTTTTCGGTTTTTATAACTATAAAAGTTATAACCCCTGGTAAGAAAATAAGGGTCGACGCAAGAACCGTTGCAATATCGATTATATGCAAATATAGATAGTCTCCTTTTAGCAACTTAAATGATGTAGAAGTAAAAATGTATACTTGTGCGCGTTTATTTTAAACGGAGTCTCTTCTATCGAATTGCGCCCTTTTTTTGGAGAGACATTAACGAAAATATTATATTGAATCGAAAATTTGTTATTTGTCATATACATATTTATAATGAATTACACAACTGTGTTTGTCCCGGAAATATAAAGCGGTTTCCTTCTCTATACTTTTTATTGATAACATATGTAATCTAATTTTGCGTGGCGTAGTTTATTTTTAAATAATTGATATACAATAAAAAAGATTGAGTTTATCATGAAATAATAGAAAATAATGAAATACTATAAATTACAAAATGTCAAAAATATCTAATTTATTATTTATTAATTAAGATCTCTTAGAAAACTAATGGTAAACATTTTCTAAAAAAATTATAAAATAATATACGTAAAACGAATCTATTAATTATTATAGTACATTTATTATATCATCATTCATTGCTAGTATTAATTTTATGGAATAACTTTTTTATAAATAGTAAATGAACAAAAAATCTATGCGTATCGGAAAAGGATTATTAAATTTTTGAAATGAAATGAAAAACTATTTTTTGTTTAATTACTTTTTTGTTAATACAATAAAAAAATATTTTTAAAAAATATGAAACTGTTCAGTTATTCAGAAATATTGGCCAAATATTTCTGAATGTCGGAACAAATTGTAAGAATTTAACCGATCTCTAGTATACTACGAGAGGAACGTGAAGTTGTGAATAGCATGGATGGTAGAAATTCCAACATGCGAAGAAAAGGAAATGTTTTTGCCGCAAAGTATATCTGCGATATACAATTTCCGGAGAACGAATTCAATACCACAGTTTATTTAAATAAACATAAATTCGTATACAAGCGCATATTATACATTTATTTTATATAAAAAAGTTTTTAATTGATTTAATATTTTAAATGATTATTAGTGGTAGTTTCTTGTTAATAACACTTTATACTAAATAAAAATTTCCTTTTTCTGAAAAAATAATTTTGAAGCAGTAATAGCTCAATAGTTAAGTTTTATCATTTTTTAAATTAATAATGTATTTTATAATCATGTTTGAATCTTTTTTACAGAATGCTCATAATATATTTAAAATGAACTAAACATTTTAATAATTTGAACATTATGGATATCCCAGTAAAAGATCCAGGTAGAGGAACCAGATGGGTTTGTCCAAATGATCGTCATTTGGCATTGAGAGCAAAGTGAGTATAAATGATTATATTAGTAGTAAATATTTGCATCTTATAAATAGGTAAATGTATATATATAATACAAAATTTGTATTAATGTCAATATCGTTGATATGTTTAAAGTAATTTTTATTATACTATGAATCTATTGTTACCTAATTAGGTTACGCATAGGGTGGTCTGTAAAGACTGGTTCTCTAGACTCAAAATGGGGCAATTATTCTAATCCTTATGCTGCTGGTTCAAATTCTTGTGCACAGTCATTCGTTTTAACTGAAGATGAACAACAAGCAATCATAGAAGTAAGTATATCAGTTAATAAATGGAAGAATACTTTAAAAGTTATAGTAATAATAAAATACCTACTTACCTTTTTTTTACTAATATTTTATTACTATTAATATTTTAGGTCATTCAAAGAGCTGAAGCTCTAGATTTATCAGAACAAGAACGGATTGGTAGATTAGTAGAAAGATTAGAAAACATGAAACGTAATGTTTGCATTGTTACTGGGACAAGAATGAATGAAAGAAGAAACTGTAGCAGTCGTTGTTCCAATAGTACATACTGTGTATGTTCCTGTGCTCTCTGCGGTGAAAAGTTTGGGGCTGTGTTGGGTGCAACGCCAAGTCTTTGCAAGGACTGTCGGAAATATATATGTCAAAAATGTGGTATAGAAACTACTGACCTCAATTCCACATTTTCAAGTTCATCATCAACAAAAGGAGTATTAGATAAAACAACTGTGCAACAAATTGTTAGACGTTCTAATAACAATCAGAAACAATTTCTTTGCCGAATATGCGCAGAAACTAGAGAAATGTGGAAAAAAAGCGGTGCTTGGTTTATTAAAGGAATGCCAAAGTACATTTTACCAGAGAAAAAGGTATTTCAATGCAAATTTTACAAAAATAAATAAAACAGGTCAAGTTAAACCAACAGATAGCTTTGAGATAATGTATCATGAATTAAAAGATTATAAAGTGTTCTCTAAAAAAATTAGTTATTTTGTGAATTTTTATCTTGAAAAAATATAGTTTATTATTGCACAGGTTGACTTAGCATTGTGTATCAGGGTTCAATTAACATTTTCAAAGATTTGAGTAATAAATATATCAATATATTTAAAAATCACAGGAACGAGGATGGTCGCGAATAGGTCATAAACAGTCAACTTGGACAGTTGGAAGAAATAAATCCATGGAATTTATTGAACCTCATGATTCTTCTTCAGATGAAGAAGTGACACGACTTTCACCATTTTCTAATTCTGTTCAGTCAACTACCAGTGTATCTAAAATATCACCGGGACAGCGATCTAATGATTTATTATCATTAAATAATCGTGAAGAATGTTCGGATCAATTAGATAAATCTACACTTTCTATTGCATCTCAATGCAATCGTGTTTCGCCAACTCCTTCTGTTGCAAGTTCACGGTTGCGAACGAATGGTAAAACCACTCATGATACCCAATTTGAACCACACGTGTCTTTTGAAGATGAAGTTATTAATGAAAAAATGAAGAAATCTGACAATCCCAGTAATGTAAATAATGATACTCGTAAAACAGAGTTTAATACATATAATCAATTAAAAAGCTCTCAGGTACAATCTCTCAGGTACGTAAGAATGATAAACAAAAGAGTAGAAGTTTAGCTGATATCAGTTAACGTATTGTAGATTGAACTCTTCAATGGCTCCAATGCCAGTGGAAACGACAATCGTTCCAATGGAACAAATACTAAAACAGCATCAAGTCAAAGAGAAATGCATGGATCAAGTCACAAGTCAATTTTACTTAGAAAAAGAGAACCCTTGCAGCAACAATCAAATCAATTTGTCACATCTACAAATGTTGGAGCACGGTAAGTACATATTATGCTGTTAAATACAATAAAATTAAAGGCAAACATTTTTTATAAAATATGAGTAACAAAAACATGATTGTATATAGTTATAAATATTATAGAAATATTAATAAAAAAACAATCTTATGCTAATATGATATATAGAAGCGGAACAAAGTTATGGAACTCTAGAAGTCTCCTTGCGGTACGACCCAGCGGTGCAGTGCCTCCAATGCAAAGTGGAACGAGCACGAGGTTTACGGCCAATGGATATTCATGGTCTCGCCGATCCGTTCTGCAAACTCAACATATTACCAACAAATCTGATTGCGACAACGAAACGTCTTCGAACAAGGACAGTTCACAAAACACGAGATCCGGAATTCAACGAGACACTAAATTTTTATGGAACGACAGAAACAGATGTATATAAAAAATAATTTGCTTAATATTGTAATAATTTCGAACGCAAGAAATTAATCATTATTTTATTGCAGATATGGAGTGGCAAAGCCCTACACATTCTGATACTACAGGACGATCCATCAGGTCAAGACTTTCTAGGAGAAGCGAAGTTCCCCCTGCAGGAATTGCAGCCTCGTCAAACAAAACATTATAATGTTCCACTGCAAGATCATTATCCAGTATGTTTTTATCTCTAATTTCTTCTTTTCCTTTACGTTACATATCGAATATAAATTATTTAAAATATTGGTTACTGCTATTTCATTATTAAGCATTAACCGATATTTGTAATCCAGTTAGTTTGTCAGTCTTTTCTACATTTAGTTTGATATTATTTGCATAATTATCTTACGAAAACAGTAATTTTTCTAATTATTATTTCATCGTGCCATCAATTTTGCACGACGGCCGACTTTACTTACATTATTCCAGACACTAAGATATAAGAGCTCGACGTTGGCATAGGTGGACAATGAAGAAGCTGCTTGGGGTGTATTTTCCAGTGGACGGGGAAAGATTGAAATAAATCTAACTTATTGTACAAGACGCAAAGCATTAATGGTTACAGTTCGACAAGCTATAAATTTACTTCCAATGGATACCAATGGATATTCTGACCCATTTGTCAAGTTGTGCCTTATGGAGAATGTGACGAACAATCAAAAACAACGTGTCTTCAATCATTCAATAGCACGTATCACGGGCAGAAAGCTCATATCAAAAAAAATTATAGGTCGTAATTCATATAATACAACAATCAAATGGAAAACGCTAAATCCAGAATGGAACGAAGAATTCATTTTTACTGCTCGATTGACAGATCTAGTGAAACTTACCTTATATATTACAGTGTGGGACAAGGATTTTGGCAAGAATAATGATTACCTTGGTAAAAAGCAAAAGAATGTAATATAATACAACATAAAATGTTCTTTAATTAGATGTTTTACTACATAACAAATACACACTATGAAATTTATTTATGGACATTAAGTATTATTATTAATAATAATAGCACTAGTATCTGTAGCAACAAAAAGTTCTTTATATAAATTTATATACAAAGACACTTTCTTCATCTAACAAACACACATTCTTTATCATTTTTCTTATACGATTTTAAACATCACATTTTATTACTTTTCACCTTAAAAAATAAAATTTTAATTTCTATTAATATAGTTTTTTGTTCTTACTTAGGGGGACTTGAATTAAGTTGTAACAGCAAAGGAGCCAGACTAAGACATTGGATAGATGCAATTAAATTTCCAGATCATCAGCATCGAGTTTGGCACAACTTAACAGATACTATTTTTCCCACAGTATAACAATTTATACTCTTTTTTTAAATGTTATTTAAAATATTTTAATGAGATCTTTAATTGATACATATTATAATATAAAAAATATAATTTATACTTAATCCGTATTGTTGCTCAAAGTGTACTATCACAAGGAGAAAACTAATATAATAATAAAATAATTGCATCGAACAATGTGTTTTATTTAGTTTCAATTTTTATGATCAATATGTTACATTATTTTGAGAAAACTAAATATCACTTTAAAGTAACAAGTATTTTTTTAGGTAATAAGAATACAAATCGTTTTTATAATATAATCATAAAACTTAAAATTTGTATAAATATTTGGAGTATAGTAATAACACATTTGGTATCTAATTGGTATAACTTAAAATTTAATTCTTTTGTATTATTTTCTACAGGATTTTATCATAAAATACAATAATTCAAATAAAAATGTATTTATTATAAATAAAGTCATACCCATTAAAAACTATTTTTTTATACAAGTACTTGACATATCATATTGTATCTAAGGTTTTACTTTGTATTTATTTATTCATCATCTCCACTTACACTAGAATCTTCTTCAGCTTCTTGCAGCCATTGAATAAATGGTTGTATTGCAGTTCTGATTTTATTGTTTTGAAACTCATCTATATTTTTATCAGTGGATCTATACCATTCCAAAATTTTTTCTTCTGACAATACATCTTTATCATAAAAAAGATGTAACAAATGTTGTAAAAATGGTAATAATTTTTCAGTTGTAGTAGCGATTTCTTCTATCGCACGTAAACAATCATCTTGAGCATCTTCTGTTTTAACATAATTTAAAATAATTGGATGAAAATAAGTTACCATAATTTTCAAACATTTTTTATAATTCTGATTATTTACAGTTTCTTTCTTTTCTGAGAGATAAAGAAATGGTAAATTTAGTATAGCTTTAATGACATTATATGTCACTTCGCTCATGCTAACATTATACGCATATCTTGATGAGTTTATTTCTAAAATTAAGTTTTCGCAATTAAGCTTATCTTGAAAACCTCTTAATAAACTGTCAATAACTTCAGACAAGAACATATGCGTATCATCTGGAATTGGTGAAATACATTCTGAACCTTCATCACTACTTGTTATATCTGTTGAATAATCATCACATTCTACTGTGTGATAATCATTAAAAAACTCAAAATCATTGTCCGCATTGATTTCTGACATACACCTAGTAATAACTTTATTATCTTTCGATTCTAAAATAGAATCAGTGTATTCTATTTGTGCATCAATATTTGTTTTAGGACATAATATACATCCATTTAATTGTGTAGCCTGTTTAATAACACAATTTGGAAATACTATACTGTTTATAATAGTAGAATTGTCTTCAATTTTAGTACTTGATAATATATATGAATTTTTAATTTTTACATTACAGCCTACTAAACAATCATTACTAATAACAGATCTTGTAACAGAAGTATCATTTCCAAGTGTACTGTTTTGACAAAGTACGCTGTCTTCTTCTAATGCACATCCTTTAGCGAGTGAAGCAGTTCTATGTTTGTAAGTACTTCTTGGCATACGAATAAAATTTTTTAAAAATGGAATGGAATTCAGTGTAAGAGGAAAACTGTGTCTGTTTAGAATATCACGATTTAGAATCTGATATGCGTTCCACGACACAATTGGCAAACTATAATCTTCAGGATTTAATTGTTGCCAATAAATTCGAGAATTTAAAATTTCTTCATTCATCAGCACTCCTCGGATAAAATCCTCCATTGTCTATTAGTAACAAATAAAATTAAATTACGTATTTATTTAATATACTATATAAAATGATTTATTTTAACTAATTTCTACAAATACATTTAAAAATTGAACAATGTTAAATAATGTTAAATAAACTTGAATTGAAAAAAATGTATTAAAAACAACAATATACATTAAATGTTACTTTTATCCGGTGAGAAGTAATGGAATGAATGATATAATTATGCAAAAGTTAATTTTACATATAAAAATAAAATAAAAATATAAATATATACTAACTTACTTGAAAGTCAAAATTATCGGAGAACAATGGAAGGACAGAAGGTGAACATAAATAAACATGAGTATCCATATAGCAAGTATTAATCTCAATTTCACTATGATCTAGAAACCAATTTAATTCTAATTTCACCTTCTTCTCATCAGTTTTTAGTTTACTATAATGCAAAACTTTTTTACTAGTTTTATCAGAAACTAATAAAGATGTTTCCTTTTTTAATAAGGAATCATTTGTCGAACCAAAGTTTCTCATCAGCATAGTAATCGTTGCACCTTTATCTTTTTCAAGTCTAGAACGATGAATGTTTAAAGCATTCATAAGGTCTGCATTAATAAAGGTATCTCCTCGTATGAGTATAAAATTACCACGTATCGAACCCTTTGTATCAATATCTCTGAGAGCATCTCCTAATGATCTGCAGCCTTCTGATATTATTAGTGAAACTGATATTCTTGACCACTTTTTCTCATTTATGTAGGCTTTTACTAAGTCTACATGACTGCTACAATAAAGAAATAATTCTTGCACTCCCGATTTAATGAGAGTTTCCATTAAATAATCTAAAAGTGGTACATTTATAATTGGCATTAAGACACTTGGAAATATATCTTGCATAGGTGTTAAATTTGTCACAAAATCGTCTGTAAGAATTACAGCTTGCACAATGTCTTTCTTTCCCATTTTTGTATTCATTTTAGAAGCTTTTAAACTGTATCAATTATATCATTTAATATAGGTTAAAAATTTCTAAATAGTATCTTATTTTATTTAAACATAACAAAAATTATATTTAGTCATCATTGACTGTAGCGTTTCCTTTTTCACTTATACATTTTTAGCACACATTTTTTTGACAAAAATGGTTTTACATGCAAAATTAAAACGTGTTTTTGTAATATACACAGAAAGCGTGTACTAGTTAACTTAAATCTGTACTATGTAGATAAAAGCGTTATTCGCGGAAAGAGACGCAGAATGTCACAGAGGCAAGAAGGGGTCTCTTACTAGAAATTTTGTTTATGGTTTTGATTGGTTAAATGTAACATATTGACCAATATCAAATTAGTATCGGAATGAGATGAGAAAAAATGAAAGCTGACCAATGAGATCCGCATTCCTTTCAGGGCTCTTCTCGTGACTAACTTGTTAATCGAAATAGAGTATCTTCTACTATTGTATACAGTGGCGCTTGCATATTTAGTAAGTTTCAGCATAAACGAGATGTAAATAAAAATAATGTACTTAGTCCGTACTGCGTAAGTACACACATTAGATACAATATAAAAGTACATGTTGATTTTAAATTTATGGTAAAAATACATGATAATTTTCTTCAATAGTTCTGAAACACCGTTGTTATTGGAAATGCCTTAATGAAGTAACGAAGTGTCGTTAATAACTATTCATGAAAACATAATATGAAATATAAAAATTTTAAGTTTCATAGAGCATACTTAGTTGTAATAGTCGTTTTTCTCTTTATTCAATTAGTTGCAACACGAAGCAAAATAATTAAGATTATATATTCACTTACATATTTACAAAATGTATAATTAAAAAAGAAGTGTAATATGAAAAATCAATTGTCTATCTTTTAAAAAAAGTCATTTTTCAAATTATGTCATCATTATGCATGTCATAAATTCTTGACATGTTGAATTTACTAGTCCAAAATAGGTATACATATTTATATTACTATAAATGTGTTATGTACAAATTTTTTATTTTAAATTAAGTAGAATATAATATTGTAATTTACATTATTCAGTTTGTATTGCAAGATAACATTATTCTATTTACAATTAGTTAAAATTTCCATATGTTATAACTTACAGATATTAAATCATTGTCCATATAATAAGTAGTATTTTTCCAATATTTGCAAAATAGTAGATAATGAAATTTTATTAAATTTACAAAATACAATAGTGTGTGGGATAGATACATATCTTCCCTGCTTTATACCATTTTTTTTGATACTCTTAAGTTATATAATGCTAAGAAGGTAAAACTATTACAATACGAAACTTGTGGTACTTTATGAAAGATATTAGTAAATTTGGTTTGATATACACAAGATGTAAACAAATGTTTTTAACCCCTTAACAGGGCTTACCATATGGTGCGTTCCAAACATTTTTATATAAGTATTTATTTATTATTTCCTTTTTTATTATATTTTTTAAATATTAACATTCCATTTTGTTAGAAAACTAACTATGTTGAAAAAAAACAATAAACTCAAGGGAAAAAAGAGTTAAATTAAAGCACGTTAAATTACAAAAAATCTTGTGCGAAAAAATTCCATGGTTAAGGGTAATATAATTTATGATTAAAGAATAGAAAAATTTGTATGTTGTAACAATTATCATCTAAATTAGTTTTCATACTAATACTTCCATAATAATATGTACATTTCCATAATATTGTATATAAACATTCTGCATATAAAGAATAAAATAGTTGAAATTAAAAATTTTGAAAATTGATGATAAATTACATAGTTATAAACATGTTAAGTAATGTATCAGTGATTGTGAGATTAAAACAGATTTTATCTAACTTTCTTTCGATAATGTAAAATATGGGAACACAAATGCATGTAACATATTACAAATCAATGAGTATCCAAATCATAATCAATTATACGAATTATGCACATGTTTATATTCCAAACAGGCTACTTCAAATATTATTAATATTATAATATCATAAATCAAAGTTTCTATACTATAGAAACAAAAATTTTGTAAATTCATTTATTAAAATCTGTTCTTTAACATTAAATAGTACAATATGTATGTAAATGTTGTGATATGAGTTTTAAAGTTCTTTATAATCAAAAGAAATAAATTAATTTGAACAACTCTTAATCGTATGCATTTTATAGCATTAATTCACACTTGATGTACCTATGTACTTATTAAATTTGTTTCATAAACTAGCTTACAATTTCTTTGATAAAACTTGTGTGAATTTCTTAAATGTTGACAAAAAATACAAATATTAGGAACAGTATAATATTGTAGTAAATAAATACTATGTAATAAACAAATATTAGATAAAGTAAAACTATAGCAAAATACTTGACACTCTGAAGAGTTTTGAATCTTTTGAAAATTCGTTTACTACAATTCTTCTAAATGAATTACTCTAAAAACAAAGTAATGAAATTAAATTTTCATGACATAGATATCAATAAATTATTATTTTATAATGTTACTTGTTTATATAAAGAAAAATGTTTTTACTTTAAGTAATTTAGCTAATGACTTTTTATTTTTACTAATTTATATAATACTGTTCATTATTGATCGTTGCTGATCAATATTGTAGTTCAACATTAAAAATTCATGTGTTTACTAGTGACTCTCCAGGAGTCAACATATCAATGATTTGTATAGTCATGTATATTATACATTGGATTTTAAATATTCTAATGAATAGTAAATAGTCTAGATACATATCTCTTTTTATATAATAATATAATATATACCACTAGTACCTTAGTATTAGCATAAACTTATGTTGTCATAGAAATATCATATAATATTTTTAATATTATAAAAGTACATTGTTATGCTTATCAGTGTTTTACTTTATTGACAACATAAAATTTATGTTTCTCCCCAAATAAACCCCATATGACAGCAACATTTTCAATTATCAAATTGAAAGGAATAGTTGATAGTGCTCCACATATGCATAATATTAATCGAGCAATACCAACTCGATATAAAGAAAATGATTTAATTACACCAAAAATGTACATGTAAATATTAACTGCTGCAATAAAAGCGCATAGAAAATTTATAACTGCTGGGCAAATAAGAGGATAAATTCCAGCTAATATAACATTTGAAGTAGATAAAGGCATTGTTACCCATGAATAACAAGATATGCCTAAGAGCAATTTTTTATTTAATGGAATCGCTTTGGAATGTACGACAAGCAATATACCCTGTAACCACCTCTTCCTTTGTTGCACAAAGTCCCATAACGTAAATGGAGATTTCTCCCACATTTCACCCTCTACAAAATTAAATGTGTAACCTTGAGTAAATGCTTTCATTGCAAAGAAACAATCCTCCGCAACAGATCCATCCAATCCATTATTAAAAGAAACTATCCGTTCCGCACCCATCTAGAATAAATATACTTTATAATTTTCTTTTATCATGAATAATGTACTTCATTCAATTTTCTTTTTAATCTATAATAAGTAATTACCTGAGTGACAACATAAGAACCTTTCATACTAAAGTATGGCTTATGAAACATTGTAAACTGTAATCTTAATTTTCCCATGTCATCTGCTACTCTAAAACTATCTGCTAATGTTGTAATCCAATTGACAACATCTTCATTAGCATATGTAATTAGTCCTTGCCCAAATTGATGTTTTCCATCCAACACAAAGTTCAATATTCCACGAATAGAGTTTTCAGTCAACAAGGTTTCTTCGTCAAGATGTACGATCCAATCATGGTCTGCTAATTCATTCACTGAACTTTCTAAGCAATATTGTAAAGCACGTGCTTTAAATAAAGCACCACTACTTGTTCGATAATCTTGTGGAACGACCACTTCTCTAATTCTCCTATGGGGAGATAATCCAATTGGTTTATCACTTACTACTTCAATTTGAAAGTTTTCTAAACCAGATTCTATACACTTATTCAAATTTCTCTGGACATTTTCTTGTACTAATAGTGGATAATCTCCACGTGTTACTATTCTAATACAAATGAATGGTGCGAGTAATGGAGAACCATTTAAAATAACTTTATCTGGGAATGCGTTATAAATTGTCAATCCAACAAAATTAAATAAAACTTGTGGAAGAGAAAGAAGTGTAAGTGTCCGTAGCAGATATAATGTAAGTGCTCCAATGAATCCATATTGAGCCCATGGATCTAATTGTTGATCATTATCACTGTTCCAACAAACTCCACCAGAGACCAATTCAAAAGTAAGTATAACAATGAATAATAGACAACAGTGTAAAATATGTTTTATTTCACTGTTCAACATTATTCCTGAAAAATATAAGATAAATTAGTAATTATAAAATTGATAAATTTTGTTTGAATATTAGAATAAGAATTGAGGGTTTCTATAGTAAAGATTACTAATATATGAATCTTTTTTATTGTATTAAAAGATATAACTGATATTTCTATAATATAGTAGAAGTTCTAATTGATTTATGAATGCTATTTATTAATAGGAAATATTAAGTTGATAATGGATAATTATTGATCTGTAATATACTTTTAATAACTTTATATAATCCATCCCATATAATATGTAAATGTTTCTATTATCTACTTTTGTACATAATTTATATATGTTACTTATTCTTATAATTTGAAAGTATTCTTCTTATTTT